TTCCTTCTGTTCTGGTGGTCAGCTTCTCTCTCTCTCTCTCTCTCTCTCGTCTCTGACCACACTCCGGGTACGCCGCAACAGAGGCTCTGCAGTGACAATACAGAGAGCCGTAGGGACTGTGACGGGGATTCAGACGAGGGCGGTTACGTACGACGTTCTCCAGGACCCTGTACACGCGCACGTCAGCGTCAATTTTCTCCGGTGCAGGACAACTCCGCGCACGCCTTTCACCACGCGAGGGGGCAAGCAACCCCAGGGCGCGGCGATGAGGCTTCGGGGGAGACACGATGGAGGGGGGGGACGCACATGTTGCAGTGCCGGTCAAAGGCCTTGACGCGCGCCAGCAGCTTGCGGTTGTTCCTGATGGAGATGAGGACCTGGGTGTGGGAGCGGACGGCGGTCTGCAGGATCGAGAGGGGCCCGGCGCTGAACTCGTGCTCCTCGAGCTGGGCGATCTCGTACTCGGTGAGCTCGTTGCGGGGCTTGGTGAGGAGCTCTTGGATCTTGGGGTCGGACATTGTGGCGGTGGAGGGGTGGGTGTGTGCAGGTGTGTGTGTGTGGGAGGGAGGGAGGAGATTGAAGATGCCGTTTCCGTCGTTATTTTTGACGGTCGGAAAAAGCTAAGGAGAGGCGTGCGCCGGGTTCTGCGTCTGTAGAATTGTCGGCGTCAACAGAGTCGAGACAGGCGCGGATCGTGGGGTGGTTGTCGCGTGGGGTGTCGTCGTTGGGCGGATGGCGAGGCTCGAGTGGTGGTGGTGGGCAGGCTGCGGCTGCGGGTACGGCATCGAAGAAATTGGGAGGTTTGGAGTGAATCGCAATGCGTGATTGGCTGTGTGCGGAGGAAGCTCGGGTCCACCCCGTTCGGCGTGGAAGATCAAGGGGCCGGCGCATCTACCATGTACCTCAGGGCGGTGTCCGCTGGAAGTGCAGTGAGTGGAGGGAGGCACCTTGCCCGGCCAGGGGTCCGTGCTCCCTACGGCTGCAGGATCGCCAGCTCGATTTCCCAAGGTCCAAAACGAAGGTCCAGAAAGGCTACCCTCGGCCTCACAAATTTGTATGGAAACCCAATTGCCGACTCCTCCTTATACCCCGACATAGCCGATACCCCTCTCCTCCCCTCCCGCCGTCGATGCGCCACCCTGGGTCACCGAGCGCATCCAACTTCCCAGTCTCTCAATGTTTTCCAGAGCCATCGCCCTGCGCGCTGGACCAGCAGCTGCCTCGTGTCGGATTTGCAGCCACAGGACTTTAAGCATGCCTCTGCGGGCCAAGATCAACAATGTCGGAGGGGCGCGAGCACAGGTGAGCCTACCCGCGGCGGCCAGGCAGCAAAGCGAGCCAGGACGAGAACGCCAATGCTGACGCTTCGTCCCAGATGTCGATAAGAATCAGGCCCGAAGACTTCAAGCCCCTCTCTGAAGATGACCCCGACGATGTCGTCTTCAACAGCGCGTTCGGCGTCCGCTCCATCGAGCTCAACCGCCCCAAGAAGCTCAACTCCCTGAACGCCTCCATGATCCGCAAGATTGTCCCACGCTTGAGCGAGTGGGAAAAGTCCGACATGGTCAACGTCATCCTCATGAAGGGAGCCGGCGAAAAGGCCTTCTGCGCCGGCGGCGACGTGACGGCCCTCGCCCAGTACAACCAGGAGGGACCCGGCGGCTGGAAGAAGAGCGCCGCCTACTTTGAGCTCGAGTACAAGCTCAACCACTACATCTCGACATATACCAAGCCCTACGTCGCCATCATGGACGGCATCACCATGGGCGGCGGCGTTGGCCTCAGCATCCACGCCCCCTTCCGCATCGCCACCGAGAGGACCGTCTTCGCCATGCCCGAGACGACCATTGGCTTCTTCCCTGACGTCGGCGCCTCCTTCTTCCTGCCGAGGATGAACGGCGGCATCGGCACCTACCTCGCCCTGACGAGCGACCGCCTCAAGGGCGTCAACGCCTTCTACTCGGGCATCGCCACGCACTACCTCGACTCGACGACCCTGCCGCTCGTCGAGGCCCGCCTCAGCGAGCTGCGCTTCAAGGACTACGACTCGCTGGCCCACCGCCTCGCCGTCATCAACAGCACCATTGAGGAGTACACCACGGGCCTGCCCTACGGCGAGCCCATCCTGCTGGCCGGCGAGCTGCGCCGCGCCATCGACCGCTGCTTCACCAAGGACAGCGTGCCCGAGATTCTCAAGGCCCTCGAGGCCGAGGAGGGCGCCACCAAGGCCTGGGCGCAGAAGACGCTCGAGACGCTGCACAAGCGCTCCCCGACCGCCGTCCACGTGACCCTCCGCCAGATGCGCGTCGGCCGCGACTGGTCCATCGCCAAGACGTTCCAGCGCGAGCACCAGATCGCCGCGCAGTTCATGCAGCACCCCGACTTCACCGAGGGCGTCAGCGCCCTGCTCATGAGCAAGGGCAACCCGCGCGAGCCTGCCTGGCAGCCCGCCACCCTCGAGCAGGCCGCCGCCGCCGGCGGAGACGTCGCCGAGCCCTTCTTCCGCTACGACGAGGGCCAGGCGCTCGAGCTGCTCAACGACGAGTCCTTTGACGAGTACCCCCACGAGTTTGGCCTGCCCAAGGAGGACCTCATCGAGGCCGTCATCGAGCGCGGCAACCTGACACCCAAGGAGGTCGTCAGCCACGTCGCCGGCACGTACAACCACCGCACCGGCGTCGCTGAGGTCGTCGAGGAGTTCATCGACAGGGCCGTCACGACGAACAGCAAGGGCATCGCGCGCATCGCCGGCAAGAAGGGCGCCAAGGCGGCCAAGGCGTAGGACCCCCTCTGTGACGTGAGGCGGGATACAGGATCTGTTGTACAATAGTCAAGGCTGCGCCTAGAGGCCGGCTGCATGTAAAAAGAGGAGGGTCATGTATTGACTGGCTGGTCACTTGACACGTTTGCGTGAGCTTGCTTGTGATGTTTGGTGTCTGAAGCTTTTGAGAAGTGATTGATGGCCTGAGGCACGATCCACGGAAGGACTTGACACAAAATCGTGTCTCGTTTTCTGGCGGATGCTACTCCTCGCTTCCGACCCAAGTGGATCAACGTGACTGTGTCGTTGAAGCTGCACTCCTTCTCGCGCTATGTTTAGGTGACGATTCTCCCTGGAGATGTCTCGGTATGTGTGTGGAATCGCCTTGATGATTTCAGATTTACATTGCGGGAATCTCATGTAAGCAGCTGTCTGAAATTATGTTCAAGTCGAACCGTCGCTACTCACGCGTCATTCTGGCGTCTAAATGATTCTCAGGTGATATGCGTTATCCTTCGCGTCTACCTCTAAGAGCACGGTATTCGACTCTGTGGGCGTGTGGTGTGTCCAGTTCTCGATCTGTCAACGGAGATCTACGGTCCTTGCCGTTTGCGCACCGGCGATTGGTTGTTGATGTGGACGGGGGTGCGGCGATATTTGAGATGTGTATACAGCATATGGTCGCGCTTGAGACCCTAGGGTTTTCGACTCTGGGTAGTTTGCACGTGTGGTAAGACAGTGTTGCGAAACTGGTACCGCCGTTGAACACAATACTCCACCTGCTCACTTGCGCTTCCAGCGTAAAACCCAATTCTTTTCGTGTCTTTGGGAGCGTTGTTGTCGTAACGTGGAGGTGAGCAGAGTGCAGAGGTCTTCCGCAGGTGATATCCGCAGTCTATTCTTAGGTAAGGGGTGGGATTCCATCTGGGCTCTGGCCCTCCATAGCTAGATGGGCTCTTTGCAGCCCTCTTATGCGCGCTCTCGTAGTCCCCAAGCCCTCACCCGCCCCTGTGACGTGGGTTCGCAGGTGCCTGGTGGCAATTCTTCAATTCTAGGAGACTTGGAGGCTTGAAAAGTCGCGAAGTAAGTAAACCACCTGCACCGCTGTATGAGAATAGAGCAGGAGATGTAATTTGTCAGGTCCTTTGTGATGGATGCTCCGTCTTGACCTCTCGGTCCTGAAAGACACGATGGTTGTGGACAGGTCAGCCATGTCAGCCCTCAGGGCTTGAGCTACCCCCGGGGAAGTAGCTACAGGACAAATTTAGTTTCAAAAATGGCCGCCATGTATAATTAAGTGGTTTAGTTTCCATGTGGTGATGCCTATTCATCAGATCTTTCTCGTTACTTGAGAAAGTTGATCGATGGACCTTGTCAGTAGAATTCCAAGACATCTCCGTTTCGACTTCCCGGTTGTCGCAGAGAACAGAGCCCATGCGAATAACATGAATAAGACGATTGATGAAATAGAGCTCAGTAGTAAACTGTGTCCTCATTCCAGTATGAGTTCTCGTCAGGTAAGCGAGGCCATTTGATTCATTTTGTATGGACACCTTGATCGCACAGGTTTCCACACCAAATCATACCGAGGAAAAGGTGCCACGTTAGGATGAATTAAGTCTTGGTGAAGACTGATGTCCGCTGTATCAAGTAAATGGTAGAGGCCGACTGGTCGGGTCATGTCGTAAATTGATGTGCTATGTGCGGACTTGAGAGTAAGCGAGTCCTGGGATGACCACTTACCCCATCCCATGTTGGTTGCAAGTCTCCAGGCGGAAAGACTGCCTGGTGGACAATGGCAGACCAATGATTGGAAAGCTGGTAGCAATATTAGGCTGCCACACGTAACTAGAACACCATGACCATTGTGACTCATAGAAAACAAGATATTGTAGCCTGGTTTACCAAGCGCACGTGAAAACTTAGAATGGTATCATCATGCTGACTGCCTCGACAAATGGCTAGGGCGCATGACACTGGATATGTGGACTGACCGAAGCCTAGACAGACAGGAAAAACTGTGTTCGATGCTGCCCCACTGCTGGTGTTCTTACATTGTAGACAGCCAAGCCTCGGAAGTCAATACTCGGACAACGTAACCCCTCGGGAGTCCTCCGTGATACTCAGCCGGTTCTCCACACCCTCTCGGCCCCACCCACACAGTCCGCGAACCGCTGCCAAGAGCCGAGATTTGAAGTTGGACGGGGTGGCACGTGCATTGGCGTCCTGGCGTCCTGGCGTGTATCATTGGCAGGCGCGCATCCCTGTCGCTCGGCCGTTCCTGCACCTCCAGCGCCTCGCAGCGGGCGCACCTCCTGTCGTAGTACTTAGGAAGGTGCGACGCCAGACACGCCTGCCCACCAGCCGGGTTGCATCATCTGGCTTGTTCGCGACATCTTCTCTTTCAACACCAACAAAACCCACACGAGTGTCTCTCCTTCAATCGCCACTCTTCTTCCATGAGATCTCTCCCTCATCCTCGAATTTCCGCCCTCACTCCCTTTTGTCGAACCACCCCTCCAGCACTTTAAGCCCCTGCGCCTCACGACACGCTTTTAAGTGCCCGTTGATCCACCGACACCAGAAAACGCGCCTGAGCACGCGACGAGCGCGATCACGGACGCGGACTGGGTACCCGCCCTCCGAATTCCTTTTCTGACCGGCCAACCAGTTCAATTCCACTGCACCCCTGCACCACCTTGCACTGCTTGTCTCGCCGACTACTCAGACCTTCGACACCGACTTTCTCTTCAATCA